CTAGCTGTGTATATGTATATACATAAAGATGGAGGCGACTGCGAGACGTAAGGCTCTCTCTTTCTAACACTCTCTCCAAAAAAAGCTTCATCACAGAGAAAGAATAATGGCGAGCGCGCGAGGAGGCACTGGCCGCCCAGGCGCGCCGGTAGCCGAAAGCCTTCGCCGCCGGCGGCTGTCAAAGCATCGTTCCACCGCCCAGCTCTCCAGGAACTGCTGCATCGACGACCCAGCGGGCGCTGCACGCCACCGCGCCATTCTTCCCTTGCCCGCACGCCCAGTCTGATCCGCGACATGCCTCGCTTAGGTACGGTGCGGCCCGGGGGGCCCTGGTGTGATATAGGCCCTGACATGTTGAGCCCCCAGGTCACAAGAAGAGCCGCAATGGATGCATCCAGTGCAAGAAGCGCCGAGTCAAGGTCAGTCGAGCTGTTGTTTTTTGTGAGAGAGCCCGCCCAGCCGCTGATCTGCCCTTGCCCCGGATGTACAGTGCGACGAGCAACGGCCCTGCAATCACTGCGCCCGGCACGGCGTCGAGTGCAGCCTGACTTTGCCCGACGCGCCGGCACCACCGCACCAGCAGCAATCGTCGTCGTCGGCCTCGAGGGACTCGCGCAGCCCTATCGTCCCCGTGACGCAGCCCGGGAGCGTAAGTCCGCTCACTCGTCCCTGGGCCTGGCAGCCGCCCGGTAGCGCGCCCCAGCACGACTACGACTCGCGATGGCCCTCCATCACCTCGCTGCCCTCGAGCACCGAGCACTCGTCGGAGCGCTCCAGCAGACATGAGACGCCCGTGACCACCTGGATTGCCAACCACACGGCCGGGCCCCAGGACCACAATCCCTTTGACATGCTCTCCAAGACCATCATCGAGCGCGACATCACGTCCCGCTTCGTCGAGCATGTCCCCGTCACTGACTGGCACCGCGACCTGGAGCTGCTGCACCACTACTCGACCTACACCTACCAGACCCTCTCGGAGCTGGACGCCCTGCGCGACGTCTACCAGAACGTCTACGGCCACATTGGCTACAAGAGCAAGCCCGTCATGCACGGCATCCTGGGCGTCGCGGCCCTGCACCTGGCCCATCTGCGGCCCGACGCGCGAGCAAAGTACCTGGTCATCTCGACCAACCACCAGAACCGCGCCATCAGCGAGTTCCGCCTGGCGCTGCCCAAAATCACGGCCGAGAACTGCGACGAAATCTACACGCTGTCGTCGCTGACGACCATCCTGCGCTGCGCCAACCTGCCCCTCCCGTCGGACCCGAACCAGCCCTCGCCCGTCGACGACACGGTCGAGACGTTCATGCTGATGCGCGGCGTGCACGAGGTGCTGCGCAGCGCGTGGTCGTGGATTGCGGCGGGCCCGCTGCTGCCTGCGCTGGTGCCTGGGCGCGGCGGCCCCCAACTCCCCTTCAACACGACCGAGTGCCTCGCGCTCGACGACTTTGGGCTGCAGCCGCGCATCGACGCGCTCTGGCCCGTCGCGCAGCACGAGAGCTTCGAGCCCGCTATCCGCAAGACACTCGAGTACACCATCGCCGACCTGACCATCTGCATGCACCGCATCCTGACACAGCCGCACGACCGCGAGCCCGGCCTCGTCCTCATCTGGCCCATTCGCATCAGCCCCGAGTGCATCTTCTTGATCCGCCAGCACCATCCGGGCGCCCTCGTCATGCTTGCCCACTGGTGCATCATCTTGCACAACCACTCCAATTTCTGGTGGCTCGGCGACCGTGGCCGCCGCGTCGTCCACTCCATCTGGGACACGATTGATCCCATGTGGCACGACGCGCTGGCATGGCCGATGCAGTACGTCAACGATGACGCCAATTCCGGAAAACTGACGATAATATGAGGCCCGGCGGGCGAGAGCTGTCACGACTGGCCTGGCACTCTACCGCCCCGCGGCATTCACCACGACTGCCGCTTAGCGCGCGCTCTTTTGCGCTGCTGCTCCCGGGCCCACCAGACGGATCGCGCGAGGCACAGGCGGCCTTGGCGTCCCATTATCGCCGCGAAGACTCTACGCATGCATATCTTTCATAACTATCGCTCACGAGTCTCTCGTAATTCGGACCGCCATGCCGACATCATACAGCCTAGGTGATCTCGTCTACTCCTCCATTCGCTCGCCCTCGGGCTTCGACTCCTCGTCCTCATCTTCACCCTCCAACGCCTTCTTGGCCAGCTTCTCGGCTTCCTCCCGCAACGCCTTGGGGACCTCCTCGTGGCGGCCCTTGGTCGGGCCATCGGCCGAACTGATCCACGTCATCTCAAGCTCGAATTCCTTGTCCTTGCTGTCCTCGTGCGCAAAGTAGATGATGCGGGCCGCTTCCTTCACGCCCTGCTCGAGCGAGAGCTCGCCTTCGGTGAGGTTGAGCTTCTCGAGCTCCGCCTTGGCGGCCTGTCGGCCTTTGCCCGTCGCCGCACCGTAGTAGCCCTGTTGCCGTTAGCCGCTGTCCGATCCCACGTGGTGACAATGTCGAATCTTGTGCACGTACCCAGTACAGTCCGCTCGGCTCCACCATGTAAAGGTACGGGCCACCGTGCTTCACGCCCTCCTTCTTGCCGCCCGCGCCAACCGCAGGGCCAGAGCCCACCTGGCCATCAACCGGCACCTCTGTCTCACTGTCCCAGCCACCAATAATCGCAGTCACACCGAAGGGTCGTACGGATGAGTAGAGCGTGTAGGCCTGAACGAAGCTGCCCATGCGGTTGGCGAGCGTGGCCGTCTTGATGGGCGCCTTGTAGATATTCCTCCACTGTGCGGCTTCATCGCGGGCTCTCGCTACGAAGTGGCGACCGTCGGGGACGAGACCGGAAGAGACCTAGGTAGCAGAGGCTGTAAGCTATGACGATGCGCGACACGCGGCGATGTAGATGATTGTGACGTACGATGCCCATGTTCCTGTCGACGGTAGCTATCCGCTTGTTGGCGCCTTGCTTGAGCAGCTTGCTAGAGACAATCTTCTCGAGGGCGAGGACGACGCCGTCCTTGCACCGTATGCCGATCGCAGTGCCTCCGTTCTCGACCGCCTTGACCGCGTACTCGACCTGTGTGATTGTAAGCCGGCGCCGCGGTGGCGTGAGAAGCGAGCACGAGCTGTACCTGGAAGTTACGGCCATCGGGGGAAAAGACGGAGTTGGACAGATCGTAGCCGGTACCTATAGACGTCTGTTGTCGCGTGGATGGTTAGCGTTGGAGCAGGTGGAGCACGAGAAGGCGGAGCAACACACCATGATGGCGAAGTGGACGCAGAGATGACTTGAGCGGGCGGGAGCAGCGGCTGCAAATGAATGGGCGTCGGGCGGAGGTGAGGGTGCGGAGGTGCAGAGCTGGGCAGGGCGTTGGCGTAGATGTCGAACGAAGCTCCAAGGCTCCCGACGGGGAGAGCAGTCGTCGGGTTATCAAAACGCCGACGCGGAGAGGCCTGTGCGCTGACTGACGGCGGCACCAGCGCTGGCCATCCCACATTTTAGTCTCGGCCTGCGATATCGCTTGCTTGACTCACTCTGGCGCCCTCTCTCTTTGCTTCTTCCCCGCAACACTTTCTTCTTTCCCATCCAATTCCTCCTCCCCAGCACTCCTCACGCCCCCAATGGCTTCCAGCGCGCCTAGCAAGACCATGCTCTGGGGCGGCCGCTTCACAGGTAATGAATGAATGCTCAGCTTGTTGTTTTGGCCCAGCAGATAAGCTGATAAAGCTCTCCAGGCGGCCTCGACCCATTGATGGTTGCCTACAACGAGTCCATCTACTACGACCGCGCCTTCTACGCCCAGGACATTGCGGGCAGCATTGCCTACGCCCGGGCCAACACCAAGCTGGGCATCCTGACCGAAGACGAGTTCCAGGCCATCTGCAAGGGCTTCGAGCAGGTCAAGGAGGAGTGGGCATCGGGCCAGTTCGAGATCAAGTCGGGCATCGACGAGGACATCCACACGGCCAACGAGCGCCGGCTGGGCGAGATCATCGGCACGGGCATCGCGGGCAAGCTGCACACGGGCCGCAGCCGCAACGACCAGGTCGCGACCGACATCCGCATGTGGCTGCGCGAGGAGCTGCGCAAGATCGAGGCCTTCCTGGTCGACTTCCTTAAGGTCATTGCCGCGCGCGCGGACAAGGAGATTGACGCCGTCATGCCCGGCTACACACACTTGCAGAAGGCGCAGCCCATCCGCTGGAGCCACTGGATGCTGAGCTACGGGCAGCAGTTTGCGTTGGACCTGCAGCGGCTGCGCGAGGTCATCAAGCGCGTCAACCGCTGCCCGCTGGGCTGCGGCGCGCTGGCCGGCAACCCGTTTGGCATTGACCGCGAGGCCGTGGCCAAGGAGCTGGGCTTCGAGGACCTCATCTACAACAGCATGCAGGGCGTGGCGGACCGCGACTTTGCGCTCGAGACGATGCAGTGGGGCAGCATGCTGATGAACCACATGAGCCGGTGGGCCGAGGACCTGATCATCTACAGCAGCGGCGAGTTTGGCTTTGTCCGGCTCGCCGACGCGTACAGCACGGGCAGCTCGCTGATGCCGCAGAAGAAGAACCCGGACAGCCTGGAGCTGCTGCGGGGCAAGGCGGGGCGGGCGTTTGGGCAGATGGCCGGGCTGACCATGACGATCAAGGGCATCCCGAGCACGTACAACAAGGACCTGCAGGAGAGCGTGGAGCCGCTGCTGGACCACGTCAAGACGGTGGGCGACAGCATCCAGATTGCGACGGGCGTCATTTCGACGCTCGACATATCGCGCGACAAGATGCGGGCGGCGCTGACGCCCGACATGCTGGCGACGGACCTGGCCGACTACCTCGTGCGCAAGGGCGTGCCCTTCCGCGAGACGCACCACATTTCGGGGCGGGTGGTGGCGCTGGCGGAGAAGTCAGGCACGCCCATGGACAAGCTGTCGTTTGAGCAGCTGCAGGGCATCGACGCGCGCTTCGAGCCGGACATTGTCGAGTCGTTTGACTACGAGAAGAGCGTCGAGATGCGCTCGGCCATTGGCGGCACGAGCCGGTCGGCCGTCGAGCAGCAGATTGCCGTCATGAAGCAGATGCTCGAGGGGCAGTAGCGATTGCCGGCATGAAGCAGATGTCGGAGGGGCAGTAGTGCTCTTATCGATAAAGAAATTCTCGGCCACCGCGTAGGTAGTAGATACCCATTGAAAGAGGAATAAAAGGTGGGATTCGTAGAGTGAAAAATAGCATGCGACTAGTTACAGTGGACCCTTGGATTTTATGCATCATCAGCAGCTAGCTTCTTTTTTCTTTCCCACTTCCCACACCCCACCACCACTACCACCACTATCACCACAACCATGGGCAAAATCGAAGAAGTCCCCGCCGATGACGCGCCCACCACCACCTCAAGCAATGGCAGCGCCGACGCCCTCCCCTCCCTCGAAAGCATGATGAACAGCGCCTTATCCTTCAAAAACCCCGCGCACCCAACCTCGGCGGCCTCAGCGCCCATCCCCCCCGCCATGGCCGCCACACAAGCCACCACGGCCGACGAGCTGTTCGCCGAGCTCAACCGCACCCCGCTCTTCATGACGCAGCTGGACGCCAGCGACGGCGCGGGCGGCGAAAACGTCGAGCTCGAGGCCTTGCGCGCGCTGGCATACGAGGGGACCCGCGCGGAGGTGGCGGCCAATTTCCGGGAGCAGGGGAACGAGTGCGCGAGGATGAAGCAGTGGGCTGATGCAAGGGAGTATTATGGCCGCGCTGTTAAGGCGTTGGATACGGCGAGGGAGAGCTTTGAGCAGGAGGGAGTGGGGGCAGAGGCGGAGGCAGAGGTGGAAATGGAACTAGGGCCGGGTGGGGGGGAGAGGAAGGTCGTGGATCTGGAGGAGGAGGACAAGAAGGAGAAGGAAACGCGCGAAGCCTGCCTCGTCAACCGCGCGCTCTGCAACCTCTCGCTGCGCAACTACCGCGCCACCATCACCGACACCAAAGCCGCGCTCCGCCTCAACCCCGCCAACATCAAGGCCTGGTACCGCGCCGCGAGCGCCTTTCTCGCCCTCGACAAAACACCCGAAGCAGCCGACACGTGCGCGCGCGGCCTCGCCCTCGACGAAGCAAACGCCCCGCTCCTCGCCCTCAAAGAGAAAATCGCGACCCGCGCCGCCGCGCTCGAAAAGGCGCAGAAGGCGCGCGAGCAGCGCGAGGCCCGCCGCAGGGCGGAAGAGGCGGCGCTGGCGCTCGCGCTCAAAGCACGCAAGATACGCACGCGCGAGACGGGCGCCGACCCGGACACCGCGGACGCCAAGATATCTCTCGCCGACCCCGTCGACGCGGCCAGCATTCTTTCCCTGCCCGTCCTCCTCCTCTACCCACTGCACGCGCAGACGGACCTGGTGCAAGCGTGCGCGGAGACAGACTCTTTGGGCCAGCATCTCGAGTACATCTTGCCGGTGCCGTGGGACGAGGCGGGGGAGTACGGGCGTCTGGAGGAGGGCAAGGTCGAGTGCTATCTTGAGACGGGGGCGGGGGGGATCGTCAAGGCGGGCTTGAAGGTGCCGTTGGGGAAGGTGTTGGGTGGGGGGCAGGTGGAGGTCGTGGATGGACTTGTGAGGGTGAATGTGGTGCCGAAGAGTCGGGCGGGGGAGTGGATTGCGGAGGTGAAGAGGCGGAAGGGGTTGTAGCCTGTGGGTGGGGTTGGAGGTCTTGCTCTCTCTCTTTCTCTGTCTTGCTCTCGCTCTCTCTTCGCTTTTCGCTTTCAACCCGTTGGCACTGGGGGCTGCTCTTGTATATATACCTACCTACCTACCTACCTACACTACCTAGTTCTTTTTTACTACCTACCACGCTTACGCTGCGATTTCTTGTCCTCTCTCTCCGTTTCCAGCCGCTCGTGCAGGCACTGCATGGTACATACTCATAAAGACATGTATATAGACGCGAGCAAAGTAGCGAAAAGTTCATCAAAAGCAACCAAGTCAATAAAGACGCAAAGCTCGATGATTGATACATGCGTGAATACGTTTTGACATGCACACACTATTCACAAAGACAGCAATCAGCAAGCACCAAACACCACTCAAGCACACTCGACGACTGACCCCAAAAGCCATACTTGCAATAATCAACCGTGGTCATAAATCCGAATAAGTATATCGACCCAGCCACAGCAGCGCCAGGGTCGTCCCGGCCCGCCGCGCCAGGGAAAGTGTGTATCAACCTGGCGGCGCGAGAATCGGCCCCGATTTTAGGTAGCTCCATCGACCCGATCTGGCATACCAGGGAAAGTAGATACGTGCCTACTAGTACAATGAGATGTGGTGCTCGCGGCTCTGTCCCCAAGTGGAAACTGGAGCAGGAAATGGGAATGTAGAAAGAGATGGATGAGCAGCCAGATACATATGTTTTGCCCGGCTCCGCAGCCCCACAACCACAACGCGACTCGTCTACCTCTTCCGCCCGCCCAGCCGGTCTTTCTTCTCCTCCGCCGCGCGCATAGCCGCTCTCGCGCTCCGACTTCCTCCCAGCTTCGGGCCGCGGGGCTTGTCGTCGCCCCTGCCGGCGGCGCCAAACGCCGTCGTCGACGAAGACGGCGCCGGAGGCGCGCGCGCGCGACTCATCTGCGAGTCCAGGTACTCGCGGCGGAACTGCTCGACGAGGCGGTCGTCGTCGGCCTCGTCCGGTTTGGGCTCGTTGGGGTTGGGCTCCTTGTCCGGCTTGCCGCTGGTGTCGTACGTGGTGCTGTAGTAGGCGACTGAATGGAAATAACCGAACACTGGTGGTTAGTCCAAGTCCATGCTGCTGGTAATGGGGAGAGGAAGAACGCACCCCTGTTCTCGCGGAGCACTTGCTCGACCAGCTCGTCCCGCTTCGAATTCTCCATGTTCCGCCGCGCGTCGTCGTATTGGTTGCGCTTGCGCTTGCGCCAGCTCGGGTTCTCGGCGCCGCCTTCCCTGAATGCCCCAACCATGCCCTGCTTGTCCCAGGGGATCTCCTCCGGCGGCTCGCCCCGCAGAGCCCGCATCGCCGCCTCCGTGGCCTCGATGTTGCGCCGCGTCGCGTCTGGCCCGAGATCGACTTCCTCCAGCTTACCCGCGCCAGCGGGCGCTCGCTCACGCGGTAATAAGCTGTAGCTTTCCGCAGGGGCCTTGGGCGCGGCCGTCGTCGTCGTCATCGTCGTCGCCGGCGCCGCCGTTGTGGTGGTGGTGGTGGTGGTGGCGTCGTTGTCTTGTTTCCTTGCCGCTGTCGCGCCATTTCGCGACTCAGCTAATACACGGTCTATGTATTCCATCCTACACCATCAGCCTTGCTCCTCGCCACAACGCCGCCGGTATCCACGCGGAAAAGGAACAGAGGGCGGCGCCACTCACATGTGCTTATCCACGACGTCCTTGACCATGCCTGTCTGCGGCACAAACTCCTTCGCGAGCTTCATCTCCGGCGCCTGCTCTTGCTCCTCTGGTTCACCGCGCAGCGCATTATTTCGTTTGCTGCTGACGGTGCCCGTGATACCCTTCCGGGCCCTGATCTTCTCGTCGTGTTGCTTGCGCCAACGCCTTGCTTCGGCGAGAGCGAGCGACGTCTCCACGTCCGCTGACACTGAGGTCGGAGCCGGGGCGGATGCCGAGTCGGATGGTGTGGCGGACGCCGATTCAGCTTCGTCGTCACTGTGGAGCCTCTTCCTCATAAACTTGGGGCGCTTGCGCTGGCGAAACTTGACGTCTGGCTCTCCGGCCATGGTTGTGTAGTGTTTGCGCGCGGATGCGCGTGCGCGGGGGATTGTATGTGTCGCAGTCGGTCGTGGTGGTGGTTGTGGGGGAGACGGCCCAAGGCCCCAGACTGCGGCGGACGGCCGAGGTGATGTGGTGCCGGCGTCGGCCGAACCCCGGCATTGCCGGCGCTCGCACGGCCCGACAAACGCGGCAGTCGGAGGGGTAAATACGTACCCTCATGAGCTGCATATCTTGCTACGAGTATAACTTCTTTATGCCTCTAAAAAGTAATTTGTAGGGAGCAGGTTCATCTCTCCACATGGGCATAAGCACAGGGTTATAGTATTTATAATGCTTACATTCGTAGGGTCTTGACATACTTTCGCCTCTATGGAGGACCACTCATCGTAGGGATAAATAACAGTGTCTACCCCTGCAACTGCAGCACACCCGCCACCATCAAGCGAGATTTATCATCTAACGAGACAATCATGTTTGTATGGAGTGGACGCAAACGCCTAGTCAATATGTTTGCAACTTGCGTGCATTCAAAGATCTTTATTCATATATAGGATCAGGCTTGCAGCTATACAAAGAGTGTTCCATAAGGACTGCTTGTATCCTTTTACAAGAGTCTTAAGGTATCGAGACAGTGTTTCGAACTTTCAAACATAGAGCAACAAACCATGGCAGATGACGTGCACAGTCTTTGAAGACGGCATGTTGAAGGCTCCGTTTCGCTGGACCATGAACCTCTCTTCACCGCGTGGCGTTACTACTCAGGCTCTGTCCCGTTCACGAAACTCGGTACTCATCACAACAAACACATGCAGTTCGCGCGAGATCATTCAGCTTTAATTTATCTATTCCCCCATGCCCACCGCTCCGGCACTCTACTTCATCGCCGACGTCTCCCGCACCCATCATGCTGTGCAACAGTGAAACCCTAGCTAAGACACTTTCATCCCCTCCCTCCATCATCCATCCCTTTATTGGTGCGCGAAACCGACGAAAGAAGAAAAAGAAAAGAGGCCCTGCTGCTGCTAGTCACCCATGCATGCACGACCCTTGCCTCACCCAGCCAGTTAGTACTTGAAATCAAAATCCTCCCTCGGCGCGCGCGCGCGCAAAAGCTCAAATCAAACCGGCTTCCCATGCTTTCATCTGCCAATCGACAGTCGTCAAAAAGAAAGAAGGAAAGAAAAACAAAAGCTGTAGATGAGCTCGCTTGAACCAATCCATACCAATTTTGTGACGAAATTCAGATGCCGCGTCGCTGCCCCCAGGAGGGAGGGGTCGGAAAATCATATGCAGAAAATAAACGCCTGATGCATGCTGGGGTTTCTGGAATCGAAGAGAAAAAACGGGGTTACAAAGAGCGCAAGACGTCAAACGCGATGGTGCTTGTTCCCGTCCATGGTGCATGGAGTGGAAGTGGGACACGTGTCGCGCAAGTTAGGGGATTGTATGCTACTGTACTGTGTGAAGACAGATGCAGCGATACGGGCAGGGGACTCCTCAGTCTCTGATGTTCAAAGGAATCCGAAACACTATTGTTGCGGAGGAGAGATTTCTGGGTGTGCTGGGTTGGTTGGGACCCACATTTGATGGACGAGTTTGATGAATCCTCCAGTTGAGTCGATAGCGGTGCAGGAAACTGCAAGCGAGTCCGCCCGCTATCAGGTGGTGCGCGGTAGGGGTAGATCAAGCGACAAGCTGTGCCACCCCGAACAGCCGAAAGATTGGAAAGTGAGCGCAAAGCTCCCAGGGAAGTTTCCAGACAAAGTTTGCAGGTGCACGTGTGTGATCATCTATGAGACGCTCAGACGCTTCCGGTCGTGCCGCTGAGACGGCGGCGGATGAGCTCCTGCAGGGCAAGGAGCTGACGCTTCTCTTCTTCAGTTGGGGGCTTGAGGCCCGTTGAATCCGTCTCAGCCTCGTTCATTTCCGCGACAACCGTGTCGGGCGCCTCGGCCTGAAACACATTCAAGTCAGTGCTGACGTCATCTATATCGTTGGGAGATTGATCACGTACGTTTAGTCCGTAGATGAGCGTCTGGACTGCATCGCCGGAGAGGTTAAGGTCGGCTTCGCGGTTCGCGAGCTGCACGAGATTGACAGATGCGCGGCGGTCGGTCGCGGTCGCCTCATTGTACGCCTTGAAGGCTGACTTGGGTTGAGATGAGTTCTGCGTGATGATCTTTCTGGCCTTCTCCTTCTGCCTCATCATGTGCATTCTACTACAGTCAGCGCCGGATCGTAATGAGTTGAGTGAAAAGACTTACTCCTTGACTTTGGCAATGAAGTCAAGCTTGATGCCTTGCGAAGGGAGACGATAGACACGGCCGTCAACAGCGTCATCTTGCTCAAGGAACTCTTCGTCACGATCGCTGTCGTCGCTCAGGTCGACTTCGATCAGACCGTCATTCTTAAAGCCGCGTGAAAGATTAACATCTACGATAACGGGGTTCTTCGGTTTGCGGATGCGGAAGAGCCGCCTGCCGCCAAGAGCACTGGAAAGGGTTGGCTCGATGGCGCGCAGATCGCGGTCGATGTGACGCGGGCAAATCCAGGTGTTACGTGTCTTGCTGTTGAATGGGAGGGGTGGCGGATTGGCCATGGGCGGATCCAAGCAATCCAAGTGCCAGTGCTCGCTGCAGCGGTCGCACTGAATGATCTGTCTGCTGTTGAGAGATGACTTGCCACACTGAGTGCAGAGAATAGCGTGGCCCTTCGCATCGCGGAGCTTGGTGTTGTCTGGAGCCTCGTCCCAGCCCAACCGGCTCTTGCTGCTGCCTGAATGTCAGCAACAGTCTGGTGGCAAGACTTGGTAGAAGAGGTAGTGGACTTACAGTGGTTTCTGTTCAGGATGCTCTTGATAGGCACCCTCAGAATCGGCAGTGACACCTTCGAAATGCTCTTGAATGCGCTTTGGAAGGGCAAAGACAGTCATGTTGCGCTTGTTCAGGACACTGATGAGTGGCGAGAAGATGGTTCGTGTGTCTTTCTGGCCGGCTGCATTCTTGTTGGTGCACTTGTAACAGTACCACTCTCCACCCTCGGGAGTTCTCGTGAGTGGGGGGTCGCAGCAGCTGAGATGGAATGCGCGATCGCATCCATCGCAGCATAAGAGGAAGCCAGAGAAACCGCAGGCAGAACAGAAGTCATCATTCTCAGAACGCTGGAATTCAGTGAGCGGAGGCGACGGAGGAAGACGTGGCAGAAATGATGCAGGCAAGGAAGTATGTTTGCGCGAGGGCATGGTGGTTGATGAAAGTGTTATGTGTGGGTGTGATGGGCGGTGGAGGAATCTAGAAGAGGAAAAGGGTTGCGGTAATTTGGTAACTTACGACTTCGTGGTCATCGTAGCCGATCGGGGATTCCATTCCGCCACTGGCGCGCGCAACGCCCGCGACACCGCCCGACCTATTCTTGATTGGCCTGCATGCGATGACAATGGTTAGTGACTTCCTTGTGCCAAGATAAGAGCTGCGCAAAATGACAAAGGCCATGTCTGCCTGATGGAAACCTAAGTGGCTGGGGGTCTCGGGTGAAACAAGCAACACGTGGGCATTGCCTATGTGCAGGGAAAAGCAGCTGTGACCAGCGTGCACCAACAGGACTCCGGCTACTTACGAGTGCTTCGTCCTGGCAGACGTCTTCTGCCTCTTTACCGGACGTTCCGCGGTGAGATTGGGCGTGCTTGGACGCGACCCGGCCGCCGATGCCGATCCTGGTGGAAAAGCATCCGAGAGCGGCGAGACAGCATTGCTGTCAGTCTGCGAGTACGGCTTCTTTGACACGCCGTTCGTGAGCTTGAGCGTTTGCACCTTGGGAGGGAGCACCGGAATGGTCTTGGACAACATGGGCGCAGACGGAGTAGGCCGTTGCGTGAGACGATCCCGGATGTCACTCTCCTCGATCGAAGAGTTGAAGGCACGCATGTTTGGCAGAGACTGCTCGTACTTCTGGCGCTTGGTCTTGATCTCTTCTTTGTCGGCTTCGCTCAAGCCTGCATCAGCTGGAGACCGCTTCGCCGCGTTGGCACCTTCAACCTTGCCGCCACCTGACTTCTTCTTCTTTGACGATGCTGCAGCAGTACCATTCACTGCCTTCTTGCCAGAAGGTAGCTTCGAAGGAGGAGCCGGAGTAGCATCAGACAGATTTTCCCGGGGCGGGTCGGCCAGGAGGTCCTCATTTATAGAACTGAGCGAGGAAAGTGACGAAAGACTGCTGCTCCTAGAGCGAGCAAAGGGCGCTTCTGAGGAACGCATGTCGTTCATAGCAGAGGCGGGTGCGTTTTCCTTTGGTGGAGTGATGGTGGCCTCGGAGGGGGGCTCGTCGGGCATCGGAGTTGATTGCGCCGAGTGAAGAGCGGCGGTGAGGTTTTCCAAGGCGGGCGGGGAGGGAGTGCGGCTGCCAAGGCTGGAGAGGCTGGTTGGCGGCGCTGAATGTGAAGGGGTTAATGAACCCAATCCAACCGAACTGCGCGAAGCACGAGCACGCTTGGAGCTGTTGGGCGTGGATGCGGTGCGAGCGAACTTTCTGGCGCGCTTGACGTATTTGTTGAAGATTTCCTTCTCTTCCTTTGTCGGCGCACGGCCAGAGTACAGAACAATGACTTTGAGAATTTCGGCTAGCTCGGGGTCCTGATGGCTCTCCTCGTAAAGTTGTGCGATGGCAGCGCCCACGTGGGCCGTCCCCGCTCGTTCGGCCTCCTTGATCGCGTTGTTGACAATCCTATCAAGCTCCTGCGAAGTGAGAATGTGACCGTTTGCCTTGGCCTTGGGCGTGCTGTGAGCCGTGGCCGAAGATGTCGACGCCACTGGGGTCTCGCTCTTTGCCGGCTGCGCCGAAGGCCGCGACGAGGATGACGACGACGATTTCTTCTTCTTCTTCACCAGGGGCTCGTAGTCGTCGTCGTCCATCTCATCCCTGTTGGGGGGAATCACGGGAAGAGGGTCTTCGAGCTTGGGGGATTCGGCTTGTGGCGCGGCCTCGACGGAAAGTGTCGTCTCTGGACTGTCGCGCGCCTCGTCGCGGGCAGGCGTAGAGCCGTTCCTACCTGCGATCGAGCGGCGGTGACCGTCAGACCTGAATCTCGCCCTCTCCTTTGCGGTGGGCAGCGCGCCCAGTGGCTGCATGTGTGATACAACTCCCTGGCGCTGGAAGCCGTGGTCCTCGAAACTCGGCGCGGGGTTCCTGAGGGGCGGCTCAATCCAGGAGTCCAGAGACGACTGACCCTTCTCTTTCACAGCTGGCGGAGCCACCGACGGGGGCGCGGGCGAGTTGTTGCTCGAGCCAACGAAGGGGCTCGAGGAAGCCCGGGTGGACTTGCGGGTAGGCCTCGAGGAAGGCATGGCGCGCGAATCGGCCGCTGGAGCGCGATCCTGAGGGGCAGTTAGCTACCGCTCCAAGCATCGGCAGACAGACTTACCTACGACGCGGTCCGCCAAAGGGAATGGCGTGTGGTTGCGCGGGGTGCGAGCGATCGTCGCGTGTTTTGCGGCGACGGCTGTTGAGAGATGAACGAGATGCGCTCTAGCGAGAAATCCACGGGCAACGCTCGGAGTGATGGAGCTGGGGAGCAGCCACCCCTTGATCCAGAGCCACAAAAGACGGATTTGAAAAGAAAAAAGGCGGCGGGAGAAAGGGAAAGACGGGCTGCAAGGAAACTGGAGGGTTCGATTGAGTTTTCCGTCACCTGCGCCGCGCAAACTGAAAGCTTGCGGCTGCTCGGGGGTTTGCACGGTTCGCCGCCTTGACGACACTCCCGCTAGCTCCGCAGGCTGATGTCAGGCAGGCGGGGGCAAGAAGGGCGAGCACTTGGGCGTGGCAGTGGAATATGGGTGGGGTGGAGAAAAGCTGTGAGGAAGCAAGTGGGCGGGTCGAGGTCCAAGTCCACCTCTGGCTCGGGCCCTCGATCCAGCCCTCTCTTCACTCACTTCACTCCCGCCACCTGCACTGCAGTTCAATTCAACACGTCTTTTGCTATTCTCGCTGCCGCCCAGAGGCCGCGCATGCTATACCTAATACTACGTGCGTTCCCCCGCGCCTCGGGCGAAGGACCAGGCTTGACCTGTCCCCGGGCTCAAACAGCCACCAATCTTCAATGCATTGTCCAAAATCACAATGCGCTCTCCTGCATCGTCCCCTTTGGCGGTTGCTTCTGTTCCCGCAGGTTGGAAGGGTCGAGGAGCGGAAGCCGAGTCCTCCGTTTACTCCTCAGCCTCGCTCTCCCCCTCATCCTCCTTCGAGTCCTTCTTGGCAGCCTTCTTCTTCTTCTTCTTGTTCTTGGGCTTCGAGCTAGCAGCCTTCGCAACGGGCTGCTCAAGAATCTTCAGAATCTCCTCGTCCTCAATCTTCTTGTCCGTCTTGAACTGAGTGACGTCGGGCGAGGTAGGCGCAGCAAGGCGCTGAATGCCGTTCTTGGTGATGGCTGCAAGCATGTCAGAACTTCATTCTCAACCGTACTGGCTGATTCGTCTCCTGCTGCAGTCCTTGGGGCTACGGATAGGATCCCCGCGTGAACGGTACATATAGCTTCCTAGTCACGCGAGGAGCTATCCGTGCCTCAACGGAAATGCAACTTGAAGGCACAACGCATGACAAAATAGCTGAAAAAGAGTGGAAAAAAGCGGTGATATCATGTGACCAGCCGGGGCAAAGAAAATGTGACGCGACGGAAGGCCTCGCCAATGTTTGGCCGAGGTTTCACTACCGCCGATCGAAAAGCAAATCAAAATAAACTTACCAAGGGTGGTCAGCAGCCTAGCAACAGGCTCGTTGTCCTTCTCACCAACGACCTCGTACTGCCTCACGACACCACCACGGACGCACTCGACAACACCGACCTTGGCAGCACGCTCGTCCTCGAGCTGGCGGAGGGAGAAGGGGAAGGTACCGAACTTCTTGACAATCTCGGAGAGAGTGGCCCTGGAGCTGGGACGCTTAAGGCCGTAGGTGGTGGTGGTACGGCGGTGGAGGGTGGCGCGGTCGGGGAAGTTCTTGACCTTGCCGGAGCCGAGAGAGACACCCATCTCGACGCCCCAGACATCGCCAACCTCGGGAAGACCGTCGCCACGGACGCCGTCGCCGGGAGCCAGGATGATCTTCTTCTTGCCCTCGATCTCGTTGCGCTCGAAGCTCCAGCAGGTGGTGCTCTCGACCAGGTTGCAGTCGTAGCTCTTGACGAGCTTCTCGAGCATCTGGGTGATCTGGGCCTGGGTGTAGGGCTTCTGCGCCTGCGCCTTCGCCTTCTCCTCGTCGGTGCCGGCAGCAAGGGTGCCGGGAGGGAGCATCAGCCTCAGAAGCAGCTCGTTGGCATAGTGGGTCGCGAGCAGCAAGTCGGCCTGGCGGCTGGGAATGATGTCGTCCTTGTGCTCATGCGAGGGAATGATGATGGTATCACAGACAATCGTGCCGAGGCCATCGATCTGGGCACCGAGCTGGATCTTGATGACATCGCCGGCCTTGAGCGTCCGCGCGGCCTCCTCGGCGTCCGACTTGAGCGGCGTGTAGGGCGTGACGTAGGGGCCCGGCGAGATGGTCGTGGGGTGTCCAACGCCCTTGGGGATCTTCTTGCCCTTGTAGACGGAAGCAACCTTCTCCTCCAGAAGCTTATCGCCACGCTCGCAGAGCTCGACAATGTTGGCGCCCTCAGTGCACCATCCTAGCAGCGGTCAGCTCAGCTGTTACTCGGCCGTGGGCGAGCGGAGCCAACGTACCCGTCACAGTCTCAAGGACAGCCTGGGAGATCTTTCCCGCCTCCTTGTACTTGGTGAGGGTATCGGGGTTGTTAAGGGTGTAGTCTGTCAAGTGGTTGTTAATACGCGTCGAGGACAGCCGTCGCGTTGTCGTGCTGCTATGACGTAGCACACAGGCGGGCGAGCAATTGGGGGACGGGCATACCGATCTCCACGTTCTCAGCCATGGTGAAGGATGTTGTCAGGTTGAGAGTGAAGCTGGCAGAGAGAGCTGTGGAACAAGAGCTCTCGTGTGATGTTTTCGGAGGTTTCTGCCCCTCCGTGTCCACACAGACAATTCCTGCGTCAGAGTGGGGGCCTCAGGTCGCTAAGCGCCTGCGATCGCTTTCAAGCCCAATCATACATCATCAGTCTAGCATCATCCTCCCGCGCCTCCCTCTGTCCGTCAAGGCGGGGAAAGACACCTGAAAACAGCAATCAATCCTAAGAACCACGTGAATTCTCCTCCCTTTGTGTACCGTACAGTACCATTGTTCATGCCGTCTGCCTATCCCCCGCATTCAACCGCGCGCCCATTGGCATTGACAACAACAACAACAATAATAACAACAACATCAACACCACAAAAAAGAGCTTGGCATCAGTGAAACCATGAAACTCCTCTCCTCCCTGCTCGTCCGTGTCCTCACGCATAACATCCGCTTCGCAACCACTAGCCCGGGCACCGGCGAGCAGCCCTGGGCCGTCCGCGCCCCCTACCTCCTCTCCGAGCTGCGCTACCACGCCACGCTCCCCGCCTCCATCATCTGCCTGCAAGAAGTCCTGCACAACCAACTGACCGACGTGCTCTCCGGCCTCAACGGCAACAGCAGCGTCAATGCCACCTTCCCGTCTGGGAACAACCCCAGCCAGGCCCAGCTTCCCCTCCCCTTCCCCAACAACGACGACAATGCCACCTCCGCGCCAGAATGGGCCCACATCGGTGTCGGCCGTGACGACGGCGCCACCGCCGGCGAATACAGTCCCATCCTGTACCGACCAGCGGAATGGCGTCTCTTGACAGGGACGACGTACTGGCTGTCCCCAACGCCGAGCACGCCGTCACGCGGCTGGGATGCAGTAAGCCCGCGCGTGTGGACCGTCGCGGAGCTGCAGCACCATTCAACGGGCGTGCATTTCTTGGTCGTGAACACGCACATGGACGACCAAGGCGCGGTTTCGCGACGTGAGGGCGCAGCCGTCATTGCCCACTTTCTGCGCAACTACCGGAACGCCCACCCGGAAACTCCGTTTGTTCTTGCGGGCGACTTTAATAGCGATCCCAGAGATGAGGCCTATCGCTACTTGGCGGCCATGCCCGAGCTGCTGCGTGATGCCTTCGATGTCGTACCCCCGCCCCGCCGTTATGGGGATTATTATACCTTCACCGGCTTCAAGGGCAAAGAAAACGATCTCAAGCGTATTGATTTTGCGTGGGTTGGGCTGGGTGGTGGGAATGGATCGGATGTCGGGCGCGTTGAGAACTATGCAGTGCTGCCGAACCGATTCGAGAATCACGTTTATAGTAGTGACCACAGGGCTGTGGTCGCTGACCTGGTCTTGTAATTGGTTTGAGGAACGAGTGTTTGGATGATGTTACGATATTGCGATTTGGTTGCCGGTAGAAAGTGTCAAACAGTTGAAGCACGCTTTCAGAAAAGAAACAGAATAAGCAGCACCCGAGGAGTGTAGGAGCCATAAAGGATTATTCTTTACCTACAGAGTAGTTACTGTTGCGAGAAACTCTGCCTTACGCTTGTAGTATTGAACCAAATACCCGACACTGACCTTGACGAGCGACAATACCTTAATTTGGTAGCCACGCTGACTATGAGAGATTTAAGCCTACCTCTTAGTAGAAACATTGATATAATGTACTTCGAACATGCAGTGTACTATTCGTTGAACCTTAATAGCATTAAATTTAGTCGGTTTTTGTCCGGAGTGTCACCTTTAATATCCGCTCACGTATCGGCGAGATATCAAACTCTTATACATCATTGCTTGCCATTATTGTTTCCCGCATCCCATCTTCACTGGTATTCCAACAACATCTACATTCAGGGTCTTTCCCGTCGGTAGGGATGTAGTGGAGATGATTGATGCAGGTGGAGTAGGATGACCTGTTGCGGAAGTGTCTTAACATTCTTCATGTACGCTACTTACGCCAGGTTTGCCCGGAAGAAGGTTGAGCTACCTGTCTGCCATCTGAAGCTGTGTATTTGGCTGGCATAACAGTTAGCTACTAATATAGTGAAGCAATGCAATTACTAACCATTTGTACCGCACTCCCTTTCGTTCCACGGATCGGGATAATTCAGCCTAGGTACCTTCTAAATGAGTGGCTAATACGTGGGGATGTTTATCCTCATAGGACCTGTACCTGGCTGTCCGGTGTGAACAAGTGTCTGAATTTAAATGTGGTTGGGAATAGAGTACTGTAGTGTCTATGAATCACCACAACACCACAGCTTGGGTCATTACAAGTACGAACTTACTTTCGGGCTGGCAAATACTCCTGTACCCAACGCTCAAAGCTTACTGGAAGATACTGCAACAAGAATGTGCGGCCAATTCATTACTCTTTTATCTGGTACGCAGCGGTAGCGCCATCTGCTTCATGAAGAAACGATCGTACAGCTCGTCAATATCCTCTTGGTAATCCCCAAAGCTCCTGTATCGGTCCACGTAAGCAGTTCCTGGCAGAGTTCTGCGAAGTGGTACTCCCGGATCAGTGAAAAGAACCAACGGCCTCGTCAGCTTTATGTACTCGGGACATTTCCTGTTTGCCGCATCAATTACCGGCCAGATTCTGTCCAGGACGACCTCTTTCACTCTTTCAAAGTCCGCTGCCAACTCAAGCAGCAGGAACGGCCTGGGCCTTCCATTGCCTCCAATGATAGCAGCATTTATCAGCGGGTCCTGGCGGATGATTTCTTCCATGGGCAGCGGGTCAAGATCTCCTCCGTACGCGAAAGTGATCATAGCATCAGCGGGGCCCAGGTAGAGCCAGAGCACTGGTTGATCGGGATGTGGGTCGAAGATTTCCTGGCACCTGAAAACCCTCGCCCTAGGGCTCATATAGAATACACCCTGGAAGGCCGCAAGCTGGGGGGTGCGTTGGATGACGAGCTCGAAGCGCCTATCACGGTTGCGCCGTCTCATCTCGTAGCCGAGCCAAGGATGGAAGCGGAAGCAGAACCATTCCCGTGGCTTTTGCAAATAGATCGGCAATACGCCGACCTTATTGTTGGCGAGCATGCAGTGTAACTTGGTGGTGCCGTCGCTGGTGAGGGCGTTGGCGGCGGCGCGAGGGAGCGTTCCCCCGGTGTATATGACGAAGTCGAGCTTCTTCATCTTTGACAACGCTATGGGAAAGTGACAGGCTGCTTCGATGGTGAACGGCGAATATAGTCCTCCGTCGACAGCACCGAGGTCGTAGATTTGCTCCAGCATGGATGCGGTTAAGGGTTGATCCCCTGGCCCGAGAACGATTGTCGCGTCAAAGTACACAGGAAGTAGTAGACACGAGAATACGTGGGCAATCTAGACCATGGTGAGCATAAGCTTGGGCTTGGGACATGAAATGAGAGTCCATACTTGTAGTTCCATTGACGAGTGAAGACGCTTGCCTGGGAGCAACCGCCACCACAACAAGCCTTCATTCTCTGGCATATGCCTCTGAGCGTCCAAGGTCGCCACTTGTCCATTTGAATACAAAATTGGTATTGGCTTCTCTACAAAGCTAGAGTCAGCTTGATATCGCAGTACTAGCGCATAACGAGCCTCAAACACACCCGTTGTGCAAGAGGTGTGCAGAATCATGAACTGGTCATGCTCCGCATCCTCGAAAGTTTTATCGTAGGGATATTGCGGTACTTCTTCCCAATCTACCAACTCTTCCAGCCCAGGCACAACGAAACGACGCACGTCTGGCCTTAGAGCGAGCGCCAGCTCAATGAGTGGCATGGACATCTCGGCCGGTCCAAGTATCACGTCTGTGCATCCTGTGTCATCCATGAGCGAAAGGAGTCCTACTTCAGAGCACTCGTTGGACGGAAACAAGATCTGTCATGTATCCAATGTCAGCATCACCGAGTTCACTCTTCTATTGTCTGTTTATGTCTTACCTTCCGGCCTGTTTTGATGGCCGCCACTGCGAGAATGCTATATCTAATGTCTCTTGGACCGAAGTAAGCGAAAGTGCTCAAGTCCGTGTCGAAGTCTACGGATCCGCCCAAAGTCTCGTCAAGCCACCATGCTGCCCGATTGATTGCATTTGAGAAACCCTTGTACGTGAGCTCCCGAAATCCATCCTCTATTGATTCGGTTCGTGGGAAGGCGGCGTAAACTTTTGTAGGGTAGAAGGTCGCATTGTGATCGATGATTTTAGTAAGCAACCTCCTCGGACCAGGCGGAACGACTGCAGTGGTAAAAGAAGCTGGCTGCTCCATAGCAAATAAGGGAGTCGTGGGTATATAAGTGATGGACAAAGTACACGCACGTAGCGGATGATTGAATGAAATGTTGTTTTTCGGACCGTAGTGGATGATCAAGCAAGGTGTGGTCTGCAAGATGCAACTGAGTTGAGTTAGCTGTTTAGGAAAGAGCGAATAAATGGTTCGAGCTTACCCATTTCAGATACTCTCCTAGGCGAGCGAGGAACCACCTGAATGTCAAAGGCTTGCATTACCTAGGTTGAGGAGCTTGCGTTAGAAATCGGTCTAGGCCTATTCGAGGATTCAATAGCCAAACATCCAGAACAATGACTAATTGACATGCCCGCGAGCAAAAGCGTCTTGATTTGGGAGACCAAAAACATTTGGCTCACACTAAACTTCTACAACATACGATAGAGTAGGAAGTATGTTTAGCGCAGCAAAACCTTGCTTCCACCATCAGGAAGCTTCACTTTAAACAGCGCGAATGGCCGCTGCCGTCTGTCTGTGCCAGGCCAGAACGACGAGGCAAAACAAAGCTGGTTAACGGTGAAGTATAGATAGCCGTCCGTACCAATTGACACTATTCGTTGTTAGCATATTTTACAAGCCAACTATATTCCCTCTGACATGAGAAAACGTACTAGTATCGACCCAATTGATCCTCGGGTCCCGGACAAACACCTCTGTCGTGGCGTTTTGTGGGTTGAACCAGTTGACAGCATTTTGTTCCATGTTGCCCACAAAAATTAGACCGTTGGAGTCAGTCTCGTACCCATCACTAACGCCTTTCTGGCCGCGGCTCTGGATGGAACCCTGCGCTAACAGGTCCGAGTTTTGGCTGCGGTCGCGGAGATACTTTGTGGGGACTGAATGTAAATACCTGCCTGCAACCTGTCCGAAATAGAGGTCATCACCATCGGCAGATAGTGCGATGCCGTCGCTTCCAGTTGTCCAATATGCGAGTGGCATGTCCGGGCCGGGGATTGAATACAGCGTTTGACCCCAAACGCTCGCAACGAATTGCTTCTCTGGATGAACGTTAGGGTTGCCGGTTAAGTGCCTCCAGCTTTCACCGGTCCCAAGGTCGGCGACAATAATCCCATTACGTCCCTCGTCGGATGAATCTGTGATGTACGCAATACCCGCGCCGGAAGCCGTCACGTCAGGACGGAGGTCGAAACGGACATCGTTTGGATAGGAATCCGAGTACGCGACGTCGGCAGGGAAGACGATGGTCTTGAAAACAGTGTCGTTGGAAAGGTCCACACCGATGAGTTTGGGACCACCGTACGTAGACGGAACGAGCGTCCCGTTAGGAGTTTGAGCACGGCCGGTGTCCAAGATCCAGAGGCGGTCCAGAGGGTCAATCACCACGGATTGGACGCCAATGAGGTGGTCTTGAAAGTTTGCGCCGCCTTTGCTCGAATATCAGGGGCTGCTGTTCTGCTCTTTTTGAAAAGGTAACTTACTGGCAGGGTAGGTGGAGTAGTTGATAGCGCCACCTGGTGGATTGTTGATCTCGACAGTAGGATAAGCCTTCTCTGTCGTGTTCGAAGTAAGCTCGGCAACGGTGTATTTGCCATTTTGACCGTTGTTCGTGTTGTTTGGATCGAATCCGGGGGGATAGTTAGAAAACATGCGCCCAGTAGACGATACAGCAATGCCTTAACATTGTCTTAGCCCAATATTGATCTGGGAAGAGTGTCCAGGTAAGCTCACCCGTTGGCCACTCATCGTAGTACAAGTGCACCAGTTCAAGTGGGGGTCCCGCGGTTCCTGGATCTGAGATGAGGTCTTGAGCTGAACCCAAACCTAGGAGACAGACCAATGCAGCAAGAGTAAATGGCAACATCGCAAAAACCAGAGTTGTGAGGGTTTACCGACGATTGGAATGTTGAGGAAGAATTTATGTTGCAACCGCGAGACCGAGAGAGCTTTTAACCATCGCAGGATGTTATGTCGGACATAGAAGTGGGAACGTCATCATGCAGGTACGACAATGCGATGACAGCTATACTTATTTGACTTATTAGGTTAACTTAACTCGGGGTGGAGCATTGAGTTTGCGGACGTACTGCACGTTGTTCGCGGTAATGCCAAACTTCATCATGATGTCAGGCGTCACGGAGAAACTCCTGTACTAGGTACGCGTGCGACGTGAGGGGTTTGTTTGTTTCCGAGCCACAAGCCGGGGAAAAGTGGTCTCGCTCTGTGCGGTTAAGATGCACACATAATATATCATGGACGATATTTGCAAGCCTCAACCCAGTCGCATTGTGGATTTATTTTGTACCATGAGCGGTCCTCTGAACCGCGAAAAACGTCCGAACCATGTTGGCCAGCACACTCCATCCCTCATAAGCCGAAGAAGTTCCCCCAAATGCACCACATGAAACCATGCTGAGGACATGCAAACGGAAAGGAAACGCTTAGAAGACAAGGGCAGCACCCTTGGTCTTCTTGTCACCACTGTAGTAAGATTGTTAGCACGTTGCCAATTTTTGGAGCCGCTGGTAGAATAAACGTACCCAAGCTCGAAGTGCTTGCAGCGCTTGAGGGCGAGCTGAGCCTTCGTCTTGCAGACGGTGCATTCCAACCTCAGGACGACCTTCTTGGTGGTCTTGGCCTTCTTGTGGAAGACAGGCTTGGTCTGACCACCGTAACCGGACTGCTTACGGTCATAACGACGCTTACCCTGGGCGAACAGGGAGGCCTATACGAGTCAAGAGTTAGAGCTGTTGGCGCTCGGTGGCGTTCGTAGATCGCATACCTTGCCAGCCTTGTACTGGGTGACACGGTGCTGGGTGTGCTTCTTGCAGCCCTTGCCCTTGCAGTAAGTCCGCCTCGTCTTGGGAACGTTGACCTAGAGGAAGAGTTCCGTCAGCGCCGTTCTTCAACATGCGGCGGTAGCCTTGATTTTGTCTAGTTCCAGCAGCACGCGAACAATCTCGCAACCCGTGGTGTGAATGTGATGCTTCTTCGTGGACGTATTCGAGCTTTCGAGAGGTCGACTCTGACCGGCGAGTGAGGTGGCGGTTTGTCGGTGGTGAGCGGGCGCAAATATTTCGCTCTTCTTTCAATTCTGGTTTCGAGCGAGAATTCATGGCGAGCGTTTTGCCGTAGAACAAGCCGTCATGTTCGCGTCGCGCCGAGGTAGGTGTCTCGAGAACTTTCGTGTGCTTTGAGGCCGAGCGAGTTGAGATTCGAAATCGTCGTAATCGTCCGTCCGAGTGCCACCGTCCAGCGGGTTGCGTGAAGGTCGTGCGGCGTTTTCTCCAAAGTCTCTTTCGGCAGATAAGGAATCAAAAGCTTACCATCTTGACGGTTGTATGGGGTCACGGATGGTGTGTGAGGTAGAGTCGTTGGCGGTGTCGTCGTTGGAGTTGCGACGCTCACTCATTTTCGCCGGGCTTTGTGGGCCGACTCGGCTCATCCACGGCACGTGACCTTATCGATCACCACCACCACCACCATGTTCTCCTGCATCTTACCTACTACGTACTTGCTGGGATTTCGTTTCGAGCAATTCAAGCATAAACAATTATTTTTTTCCTCATTGGAAATTGACGGCTACGTCACGTCATGTGCGGCTTTATATACAGCATCTCTCCACAACCAATATCCTTCCCACAGACCAATGGCCTTTGGCCTTCACGACACCGCTAGAATTCCGCACAGGGCTCCGACACCCGTTAGGACCGATCTGGTTGCGTTGAACCAAGTCCACTTGCCAAGGAGCGTCTTGACTTTATCCTCCTCAGGGATACCAACCTCATTCCATGCATCATCGCCGGGCTGCGCGTTCTTCAGCGCAGCCGCTTTGGCATGCAGCCTGTTGTTGACTCTTTTCATTGCCAAGAGCGTGAAAGGTACAATGCTAGGAATCAAGATTGCTGCAGCAGAGTAGAGGTAGAACGTCGAGTTCGGATTGAGTTCCGTGCCGGTGAGCGCTTTGCCTTCTACAACAAGCCAGTATGTCAACGGTACTGTAACTACCAGCGCATTGGCGGCATCTTGCACGGTCAATGTGCCGAAACACCTTATTAAATCGTGCGCAAAGGCACAATGTCACGATGCACATGGCGTGGGGCTAAAATCAACTTACGCTGCCACATGAGATAGCCAAACGAGATTCCACCCGTCAAAGCCAGGAATGGTGCTGTAGAGGCTCCGATGTTATACGCGCTCTCGAATTGCTGAGCGAGCAGCGGTGCTGGAGCGAGGCCCAGCGTAGGGACCATGGCGATGCTAAAGCATCCAATGTACCCTGTCAGAGAACAGTTGGTGAGTGACGTCGGCATCATATTTCACGTATATGCGTACCAGAGAGGAAAGCTGAGCTCGTTACGCCCACGATATGCGCAGTGCGCACGAGCCCGGGGAGCTGTTGGAAGTGGAATTGTGCCGAGTGCTCTGGCATAGTGGCTGGGCGCAAACAATTGCGATTGATTGGAAAGGGTACACGTCTTGAATGTAGTTGGAAAAGAAGTGAGCTTTCTGCTCTTGCTTTATACACGCACATAGTCCCTCATCCTCCAAACTCTCTAATTGGGGGACAAAGTGGAGGTCTACCAAGTCACGCCACTAACGTGTGCCGCCATGGTTTAAACTCAATAACTGTACTCTAGCCCAGTCGATAGATGGATAAGTGCCAATCAATTGCTTAATTTGATTAGTTCGTTTTATCCTTCGGAACTTCGGGCGATACGAAATGTCCGTTTCCGAAATCCCATCTCCGCTTGCCAACGAGCAATCGACGGGCTGGTTAGGCAACGGAAGGTGCCAGGGTTGACTAAGCCTTCGCGCTAGCCCTATGAGGCAGGACATAAACTCTGCACGTGCCCAAGTCAAAGACCACCTACAACAGTAACCTTTCAACAAATCAGTTTTCAATATCAATTAGTATAATCACACTAAAAACCCTTAAAGTCCCCTGCCGTCAAACGAGCCTCAACGTTCAGCGAACACCACCAATTAGAGCGTGCTGTGTGGGTCTTTTCCGCACTCTGATTGGTGGGTTTCGCTGAACGGTGAGGCTCGTTTGACGGTAGGGGACGTTAGGCAGAATCCAAGATTTTCAGTTGTGCTTGATGTGCATCTATCACATGTTGACTTTCACACGTGGAAATATTTCACTATGGCCTGGTTGACCGTTCGTTGTGGTGCAAGGTGATTGGATCGAGATTATGAAGTGGCCGCCATTAGCATCCAAGCAAACTTTCTAGGAAAGCATCAGCCATTATGAGAGCTCCACTGGACTTAGCCAAAACTACAAGTGGTCTTGGGTGCCTGCCTGCAGTGTACAAAAATGTTTTGTGGAGCCCAGATAGTCTTTTCAGCCAAAAGAGACAGTGAAGTAGTACCGTGCAAGCCCAAAACCAGCTCTCGCAGTTTGTCACACTTTAACTTTTCCCGTTGGCTATTGCATGCACGTGTCCAGGGCAGGTAGTAGTGACAGCAACCCAGCGAAAGGATGGGCAAACACAGACGGTTTAAGTGCGTCTAGTAAAATTTGAATACGTACCATAGATTCCTGGGCATAAACCGGTCAACTGTGTCGCATTGCTGCCCAATGGACAGGGTAGGCAACAAAATGACCTACGTACCTTCGTTAGTTTGTGGGGACACCGTTCAGCTAGCCTGAGTAGCATAAGGTCCTTTAAGCGTTGGAATGAGCCTTTCCTGGAAAGAATCCGCTATTATCGTTGCCGCCGGGAAGGCTGAGAGGTGGTGAATGCTTGCCAGTGCTTTGAGTCCACCGGTCACTTATTCAGAAGCCGCAGTTTCACAACATAGCCAAAGCAAGCCTCAATATCGGACTCTCAAGTTCGCCGGTCAACTGATAGAGCGTGTATACATATGCAACCTACGAATATGTATTAGGCAGCAGGAGCGCACTGGCGCCAACCCAAGTGCAAATGAAGCGTGAGCTGAAACTCGGAACAATACGAGAGCTTCGAGTTAGGGCCTCGAAGCGCAGCCCATGGCCAGTGAGAATTCATCAAAACAGTGGCTATGCTGAAGGGGCGAGTGGTGCTAAAGATAAGCCGGCCCCCAACAGGCGCCGGAGGTTGGAGCGGAGGTCAAGGCAGGTCCAATAGGTGTCCTTTTTTGAAACGGCGAAGGATGAGGCTCTCGAGAGCAGTAGACCCGGTGACCGGTGTGGATGGCAGATGCGCGTGCCGCTGACAGTGTCTCATCTAATGTTGTTGAAGTGTCGCGTTGTGGACGCCGAGGCCGAGCAGCGCATCGACGTCATCAGCTTTCACGAGGTCCTGCAAGCCCATCCAAGACGGTCGAAGGCGGTAGAAGGTTTCCTTGGAAGCTGCCATCTCACACCTATATCTCTCTGCTCATCGCCGACAATCCCTCCCTTTACCCCATTCTTCCGCCAAGCTGTCAGTCGTGTCCATCCTTCGTCGGCTCATCAGCTGCGATCGGCACAGCCCGAAAGCCAGGGTTCCGCCAACAGCCTGCTTGCAGGTGCCACCCACCCGCCTGACATCGTCACCACTGGCCCTCGCTCTCTCCACAAGACCCCGCGCCCTGCGCGCTAGCCGTCGCTCGCATCTCGTACAAGACTCGACGGCTCCCGGCACCGCTGTGCTCCACGACCGACTGCCACCGCCTCACTTTACCAACCATCATGTCCGTTATTTACAAGGAGCGCGAGCGCGAGCGCGACTGGGACCTGCAGTCGCGCTCGTCGCGCAGAGGTCCCATTACCGTTCGCCGCTACAAGGTCCCCGACCGCTCTTACGACGACCTCGACTACGATGAGACTCGCATCATCACTAGAGAGCGCGATTCGGAACCCGAAATCAGAAGGCGCATAGTTATCGACAGAGACGAGGAGCGCGAACGCGAGTATCGCTTTGTTGAGCGCGAGACTTCACCACGCCATGACGTTCATGAGTATCGCATCCAGCGCGACGTGATCGAGCGCGACCGTTCACCTTCCCCGCATCGCGTTCGCGAGTGGCGCATCGAGCGCGAGGTCGAGGAAGAACCTCATGAACCATACGCCCTCGAAAAATACTCGAAATCGACCGAGTACTTCTCGCGGCCCGAGCCGCCGCCGCAGCCTATCATCATTCGGCAGTCAAATCCGCAGCCAATTATTGTCCAGGAAGCGCCGGTGAGGCAGCAAATTGTCTTGCGACGGGAAGAGCCTCACTACGAGTTTATCGAGCGATCCGACATCGATGATCGTCAGGTCGTCAGACGTCCGCAAGAGGAAGACTACTACTACGAGCGCAGGGTGCGGGAGTTTGACCGCGACGACTACTATGACGAGCGGGAGCGCGGCCGTGACCGGCGCGCCGAACATGACTGGCATAGCGACGATGAATATGAATATGTTCGGAGGACCCATGAAGAATCCTGGGGCCGCGATTCTAGCCCTCACCATCGTCGGCACCTAGCTGAAGGTGTTGTCGCTGGTATCGGAGCTGCCGAACTCATTCGGCATCACCGCAAGAAGCAAGGCGAGGAGCAAGGCCACCATGTTAGGCAGGCATTGGGCTATGGCGCTCTAGGTGCTGTCGGTGCGGAGGCTCTCACTCGTGCCAAGAGCCACTTTGGCAGGTCTCGATCCAGGTCTGAATCTCGTGGCCGACACCACAGACACCACCACCGTAGCAGGTCCCGTTCTGCTTCTCGAACAAAGAAAGTTGCCGGTGTCGCTGCCCTTGCAGCTGTTGGGGCTCTGGCATATGCCGCCGGCCGCAGTGGAAAGGGCAACAACATGGCCGCGATCGAGCCCCGCAGAAGCCGGTCCAGAAGACGCCGGCACTCCGTGGGTGCTGTCAGTAACAAAAGTTACAGTCCTGAGAGATCGAGGTCAAGAAGCAAACACCGTGATCCCGAACACAAAAATCGACGCATGGCTCAAGCCGGCCTTGCCAGCGCTGCTGTGGCTGGATTGGTCGAGAGAGTTCGCAGCAGATCTCGAAGCCGCCACGGCCGCAAAGGCCGTAGCCGCAGCCGTCTCCGTACTGGAGCTCCTATTGCAGCAGCAGGTTTGGGTGGGGCAGCGCTGGCTGGCCTGTACGAGAAGAATCAGGCCAAAAAGGAGGCAAAGGAGGAAGAGAGGTCAAGATCTAGATCCAGGTCTAGATCCAGGTCGGTACCCTCAGGATCTCGGCGCGCTTCGGCGAGTGACCCTGCTCTTGTAGTATACGGCGGTGATCCTATCTTCGTCGAGCCGGCCGCGGGCGCACGGCGCGGATCTCGGAGTCGGAGCCATCATGACGATCCAGCCGACTACCGGGGTAGACGCCGCGGCTCGTCCGTTTCTTCTAGCGATTCCGGACGTAGACGCCATAGCCGCTCGAGCCGCAGCCGAAGCCGAAGTCGCTCAAGAGCAGTAGCTGAAGCTGCTGCGGTCGCTGGTGCGGCTGGTTTAGCGGCCCACGAAGCTGCGAAGAGACGTGAGCGCAAGAGGGCGGAGAGGGAAAGAAAGCGTAAGAGATTTCAACAACTTTGACAAGTGATCGCAACTAACAGATGAACAGGGCAAGCAGAGGAAACACCTTACAGCGAAAACAGCTATACACCTCCCCCTCTTGGTGGGTATCCTCCTGGAGCATACCCTCATGATCCATACACTCCCCATGATCCTTATCCGCACGAGCCGTATGCACCTGTCGGCGGTGGCTATCCTCCTGCCACTGGGCGGTACTACCCTGAAACCAACGAATTTCCCCCTCCACCGACTGGTGCAGGCTATCCTGTGCAACCTACTGCCAATGCTCCCTACAATCCGGCAGACTACGGCCCAACTCCTGGACCGACCCAGCCAATGCACCAAGAGCCATACTTCGCGCCACCGCCGCGTGCCGAGGAGCCCTATGATGGCCACGACCCCCGATATTCTCGGGGAGAGAATGTGAGTGCTGCGTCTGCTTCTGAGCACCCCAAACGCGGTTAGTCCGTCGTTCTTTGGACTGGAGGGAAACCAATTAGGAGTGCTTTACTGACGACTCAAAAGATGGTCTAAAGGCACCTTCTCCAAGCGATATCTCACAGGCTCCCAAATCACCGAAGAGCGTACAATTTGACCTACCACCTGAGCAGCAACCGTCAGATCGCGAGCGAGAACGATCACGCATGCAACATGATGACTTTGATGACGACGTATATGACCTGCTAGACGGCGAAGAAAGAGGTCGGCACAGACGACACGGCGACCACGACTGCAATGACGATGCTCACGGCCGCCACGACAACCGTTCCGACTCACCTTCATCTGGCTCTTCAAGCGAAACGGTCGAACTTCCACCACGGTTTGACAACCGCGGCAAATATTTGCTGGAGAGAGGCGAAGACCCGTTCGCAGAGAAGCTAGAAGACTTTCTCTCTGGGCGCAGTACCGCCGGAAAGCTCTTTCAGAGGTTCACCGGCGACCTACTAGCTACCTCGGGTCCGTCGAGAAGGTGATGGTTAAGACGAACGTTTGTTTGTCCTGCCCACATTTTCTCATTTCTGTTTCCCCTTTAATAGACTTTGCTTTGCACCACGATAAGAAATCGACGATTATGACGACGACGACGACGACGACAAGGATGATGATAACGGCAGCACCACTTTACCCTCCACTTTTTTCTTTACGATTTTGTAGTTCTTCACCCCCCTTTTTTCTTCTTTCCTTTCTTCAGGCGACATATTTTCCTTCTTTTCTTTGGCAGGAGCGAGGGTTTCCCCGACTGGTGATGGTTGGATGGATGGCACACGTCTGACGATGAGCAAACGAGAGACGAACGAATGGCATTGCGATGGCAACTACGGTAGTAGCAAACGAATATCACGAATCTGACGTCTCATCCATTCGCGTGTTTTGTTTGCCACGTGGACCACTACATAAGCAGCACCAAGCAGGTGGGCAGAAGGCCTTGTTCTTAGCTTGCGAAAACCCGTGTAGGTACGGACAGAGTACGTACTCGTTCGTATCTTGGTAAGACTGCCCTGTCCGTCTCTCCAGCGTCGTCGACGGCAAGGCACACAGCGCGGGTCTGGCCGCCACTGTCAGGCCCCGTCACGCGGCAGCGGCCTAGAGTAGAGTAGACGGCGCCTCGACTCGACTCGGCTCGGTTTCTCCCATCGATCCCCCGCAGCAGGCGTGGCGTGGCTGCGCCGTGCCTACTGGCTACTGGCTGCACCGCAGTGCCGCGGTGCCTCTGATGGCGCCATGGGCGCGCGCGATGATGGATAGTGCTGGATACAGTAGCTGCACGCGCATACATACCTAGGCAGGCGGCAGGGCGGGCAGGGCAAGCACCTAGGCGGCAGCGCCGCCTACATACATACATACATACATGCATACATCATCGTACCTAGGTACCCATCCAGGGCGTTTTTCTTCTCCTACCTATTTGTACGCGAGTGCGTACTCTTAGGCAGGCCGGCCGCCGCGAGTTGAGTTGAGCTGTCGTCTCTCTACCTAGGTAGGTACCTAGGTAGCGTGGCTGATTCGCCTTGCCTTGCCTTGCCTTGCCTTGCCTTGCCTTGCCTTGCCTTACTGCCGATAGGTAGGTAGGCACGTCGTTCTGATTTCTAATCCATGGCATCACCCACCCAGTCGCAGCCGCGCAAAACCGCACGCGCCGGCCCTGCTGGCCTCTTCGCAGCATGCGCTACGATGCGATGCGATGCGCGTCAGGCACCCCTGGCCTGGCCTGTCCTGCCATGCCCTGGCCAGTCTGGTCTGGTGTGCGGGCGTTCCTGACAAGGCAAGCTGGCCAGCCGCTTACGCCATCCATTGTGGCCGCGGTGTTGAATGGACGGACAGACGGACGGATGGGTGGATGGATGGGAGACCGTAGGTAGGTAGGTGGTGTTGAGGTGGAGGTGGCTGCCGGGCCTGGATGCGCGCGCGCATGCCATGCTACGCCATGCTACGCGCTTGCGCTGCGGGCTGCCTGCCTGTCTGCCTGCCTGCCAACCTGTCAGTCTGTCAGTCAGCAGCCGTTCCGGCCCAACCTTGCGCCGCCCGTGGGCGAGGCGGAGCGGAGCGTTATCCGTCAGTTCAGTGTAGGCCCTGAGGCGTGCCTGGCCGCGCGCGCGCCGTACACACATACATGCTGGATGTGGCTATCCGGCCGGCTCCTTGGCTGTAGGCTGTGCCTGTGCCTGCGAGGTAGGTAGGTGGGTGGGCGCTTTGTAGGTACCTACCTATGCAGTGTACGTCCTACGCACGCACGCACTTCTTCAGAAGCGCCTATCTTTGCTGCGAACGCCAGCACCACTGTCGGTGTCCCATCGCTCTGTCCAACCCGACCCGAGCCTGCGCGCTGGATTTGTCGATAATCGAGGCTAACTGGCCGGCTGGGTGCGCACAGAGAGCGCATGTACTTACCTAGGTACATACATACATACATAGCTAGGTACGGTATGCTGGGCACGCACGCGCGCGGCAAGGGCGGCCTGGCGGTAGCCGCCGCACACGGACGGGATGGAGTTACTGATAGATAAGTACAGTAACCTACTGCATGTAGGCCGATAACCCAAAGATTCAGGTCCACAACACACAACGACTAGACTCGTGCTCGTACGAGTAGGTAGGCACCGTTACCTAGAATACGCCTCTACACGTCCCATCCCGGCTCGGCCCAGCACGGCCTAGCTATGTACGTATGTACCGGGATGCGGCTTTGCGTTATGTTGCGTTGCGACGTAAATACCTAAGCGTAGGCGTAAGAGTAAGAGCAGGCGTAAGAGCAGGAGGGGAGGTGGGTAAGCGCGCTCGTGCCTGTGCTGTGCTGGTGGTGCAGTGCAGTGAGGTGTGGTGCCACGCCACGCCACGCCACGACGCGGGCGCGGGCTCTGCAGCCTTGCTTTTTCCGTTCCTTTCCGTTGTGCTTGTGCTTGTGCTTGTGCTTGTGCTTGTTCTCTGGCTGGGTTGGCTTGGGTTGGCTTGGCTAGGGTAGGGTAGGGTTAGCGAGAGTGGCTTACTTACGTACCTACTAGGGGAGGGGTGAGAAGGCGGCGTTTCTGACGTGAGCGTCAGCAGCACCTCACTGCCGCTGCTGCTGTAGCTGCGGTGGTAGCTAGCTGCGGTGGTGGTGGTGGAGGCGCGCTACGGTTAGCTCGCTCGCTCGCTGGCGGCATCACGGCAGGAGTGGGCGGGTGCGCGCTGAGGGGCGTAGGCGGTCACGCTAGCTGTCTCTCTCTGTGTGTGTGTGTGTGTGGGTGTGTGGTAAGATACCTGGGTCGTGGGCTGGGGGTGCCTGGCCTGGTTGGGGAGGGAGCGAGGGGCGAGGCGCGAGGGGATAGAGGCGCGATGAGTCAGCTTGGGCGCGACAGGGGGTGCTGAGCTGGCTTGGTGTGTAAGTGAGAGAGGGAGAGTGTGAGAGAGTTTGTGTGGGCTGAGGATGGATATGCATGCGCCGCGCGTTCCTGGGGAGTGGCGACGGGACGGGAGTGGGGATGTTGTGGAAGTGAAAAGCTGTGGTGGTGTGTAGTAAATGGTGAGTGAGTGAGTGAGTGAGGGGATGAGGGGCTAGAGTCCTCGTACGAAGTAGGTACAGTACATAAGTACTAAGTAGGCATTTACCTACTCCTAGTAATAGTGGCGCACACACATACACATACACATACTGCTTACCAACCACTCCTACTCACTCACTACTAATCAGGGCGCAGCAGCGCAGCAGCGCAAGAAAGCAGAAGCAGAAAGCAACAGCGCAAGCACAAGACACAGGCACAGGCACAGGCACAAGGCACGCGGCACTTGGCACTTACGGCATTTAGGTTGGCACGACCTTGACGGGCGCCCCCGCGCCGTGGCGGCGGGCGCGACAGCCATGCCATGCCGTGCCGTGCCGCTAGGAGTAGGAATAGTTACTGCCAGGCCCAGGCCCAGGCCGAGGTCGGTAGGTCGGTCGGGCGAGCGGGCTTGGGTTTAGGCTGCGCTGGGGTTGGGGTTATGTATGCATGCTTGCTTGCGCGCGCGCTAGTGCTTTTTTTTGGGCTGGGCATGGACTGGGCTGCAAGGGCTGCAAGGGTGGGGCGGGGCGGGGTTGTTCTGTCTGGTTGTCTGTCTGTCTATCTTATCTACTTGTACTTCAGTGTATGTGTGTAGCTAGCTAGGCATAACACGGTAGGTAGGTACGATAGGGACGACGTCGTACATACATACATGCATACGTAGCAGTCAGGGTGTATATATTTCATCAGGTACTTAAGCCCTCCGGACTTACCCGTGCTTGCCAGACGACGACAAGCCTACCTAGGCATGATCAGATGAGATGAGATGGACGTTGACGGGTCCGCCTTCCCCACAACCACAATGACAACAATAACAACAACAACCAAAAAAAGTGTGTATAAGAATGGCGATTAGGTAGTTAGTTCGCTGTCGCGCAAACGTAGAAGACGGCACGGCACGGCAAAGCAGAGCAGAAGCCAGCGCAAGCCGCCGCCACCACGACCACCACGACCTCCTCCTCCTCAAGCAGGACTGTACGTTGGAGCGCGCGTAAAACGCAACCCCTCCTAAACACTCCCCCAAAACCACGAGCCCAAGTAAGTCTCTCGGCTCGACAGCTCGTCCCCATTAAGCCCTTCCCCGACCTCCCTCCTTCTCGCAATGAACAGCAAAACGAGAACGAGAACGAGAACGAGAAAAACGCATGCGGCAACGAGACTCGCGAAGCACACACAGAAGAGGTCCTCGCAGGCCAGGGCCAGGGAAAAAGAGATGGATAGGTAGTTTACGGGCGCGAAGACACGGAGGCTAAATAAAGCAGAAAAAAAGCGCTAAATTGAGCAACAACACTACGCTGGAGTAAACAAGCAACGACGGCAAGAGCACCCAAGTGAAGGTTGAAATAAAAAAAAAAAGAAAAGAAAAAATTTCATTGGAAAAAACCCAGAAATGAAAAAAAGAAGAAAACAGAACGAGAAATCCGCCTCGTAACAGAGGCTA